CATAACTTCAATAAATGAGTAATACACTTTAAGATACTGACAACAAAAAAGAAAAAAAAAAGGAAATAAAAGCAACTGGACTATATGTTAATCTGCACTTGGAAAAATGCTTTCACTGAAGAATATTTCAAGTTCCAAACACCCAGGGCACTGTGAAATTAAAATATACCTTTTTTGCTTAGCCTTAGAAACATTTCCTAAATATTTACCTGTGTGATAATTTGTATAATTTTGTCGTTGCTTTATAAGAAAAAAATATAATACCATTTACTGATTGGATATACAACAAAGAAAAAACAACAATTACCCAGAAATCCCTAAAGGGGAGCATAAGCTTTTTTTAAAGTATTTATTTCATTACAACATAAACTGGGAGTACATAAAAAGCTTTACCTATATATGCTTCAAAAATGAAACTATTAATACATCAATTACACATATAATTCACCTGAACTGTGAACATTGTCTAAAGAATTTGCATTAGTTAATCTGTTGAAAGTGGCAGCATTGTCATTGTTATTTCATGATTTCACAAATTTGTCCAGGGTTTATCTACTAAGACTTAAAAGCAAAGGCAAAGACTCCTGCAACAGGTAGCTCATTAAACACTCTGGTGGTCTGAGAAGCATTTCAGGTGCAAAATAGTAAGACTAGCAATATATATATAATTGGTAAAAACCTAGCCTGCTTAAGAAATATTTGAAAAAAACTGGCCCTATATTCATCACTGTCTCAAGTACCAACTGTGGTTTCTCTTCCCTGCTATTTATTCCAGCTGAATATACAATAGGTACTTTTGACTCTGAATTCATCTTTTCCTTCCCATCCCTTACTCCCATTTCTTTCCTTTGAGTAATTCATGAAAGTTAGTCTCCAAAATTGCCTACTGTCAGCCAGCCAGCAGCTCAGCCCCACACAGCCACTCACTCACTCCTCCCAGTGATCTGGGGGAGAGAATCAGAAGGGGGGGAAGTGAGAAAACTCAGGGGTTGAAATAAAGACAGTTTAATAACCAAAGAAAAAGCTGCATGTGCAAGCAAAGCAGAACAAAGAATTCATACACTGCTTCCCATGGGCAGGCAGGTGTTCAGCCATCCCCAGGAATGCAGTGCTCCAACACACATAGAGATGACTTAGGAAGACAAACATCATCACTCCAAACGTCCTCCCTTCCTTCTTCTTCCCCCAAATTTATATGTTGAGCAGACAAATGGTCTGCAATATCCCTGCGGTCAGTTGGGGTCAGCTGTCCCAGTTGTGTCCCCTCCAAAGCCCTTGTGCACCACCAGCCTCCTCCCTGGGGGGGGGGTGGGGTGAGGAGCAGAAAAGGCTTTGCCTCTGTGTGAGCACTGCTCAACAACAATGAAGACATCTCTATTATCAGCGCTGTTTTCAGCACAAATCCAAAACACAGCCCCATACCATCTTCTGTGAAGAAAATTAACTCCATCCCAGCCAAAATCAGCACTCCCGCTGATTCCTAATATCAGTGGGCTCATTCCAGCAGCTCTCAGGATACAGTAGGCCAAAACAAATGAAAAGTGCGTGATTACATATTCTGAACGCAGAATTTTACTGAGCTTTTGTGTCAATCTCTGCTTTTAGTAGCAATAATACAAAGTCACAATAGTTCCAGTAACCTAATGCAAGTAAGTGCATGGAACTATTACAAACTTGTACTACATTACCTCAGAGTAGGAGTTGAGGCAGCAAATAACTGCCTATGCAAAAAACATACTTTGCTACAATAGTATTCACTCATATTATTGGCAATAGCCAAACAGAGCTGTTAAACCACAGCCAATCTGGTGTGCAAAATAACAGCCGAAAAAAGAGATATCAATAAAATGCTTTTTAGTATAGCTGCTCAACAATACTACCGTTTTCCCTTCTTGTGTTTTCTTAAGTTTCCCAGGAGCAATACTACTAGGAAAAAATAAAAAAGCCCAAAGATAGGATTCTGTCTAGATTTGGATTCATTCAGAAAACACTACAAATCAATCCAGACACACAAGCACCACTGTTAAGCTTTGTGATAATGAAGGTTAACACATCTATGGAGCAATCAGTGGAATATATGATATAAATCAGGAAAAGCAATAGCCACTCATGAATAGTGGTAACTGCGATACAGCACTCTGAGAGCCAATCAAACAGCACAGGAGAGGTACGGCTTTCATGTGAGAAATTTATTCCTTTATCACTTTAAATTTTACCAGGTATTTATTTACAAAGAAACCTTCTGTGGACAGCATTTACATCAGCGACTGCACATTTTTAGTCATTACTAGGGTATGACTAACATCCTCCCCATGTTGCTTAACAGTGCCAGTTTTGATCAAACAGGGTTATTCTTTTGCCAATTATTTTTTTGACTTAGTTTCAAGCATAAACAGAATTTGTACACATGCTTTTGCAGCAATTAAGATTTCTATTTTATGGAACCAATTAATAGATAGAAATAGTAAAGTTTCATCTGTTAATAGTACTTCTTTATTGAAATCAGGATTTAGTTTTAGATTCAATGAAGGCTTTAGGCATTTCATTGTTAGGTACTGCAATGCCTCTTTACTAAGGTGTCACCCCTGAGAAGAATCCAAATCACCTGTTTGGCTGCCCAGTACAGTGCACAGAGTAGCTCACCTTAGACTGGTAACCAAAAACACAGAGCCTGTCTGCAAAAGCTTTCCAGAGAAAACTTGCCTGATTGTAGCCACTTGTACTAAATCTATGCTGAATTACCCATCCAAGAGGTGGGGCCTGGAATCTACTCAGAACTCAATGTAGAGAACCCTATGTGTGCTTTCAGAGGATTACATGAAGCTCTCCTAAGAAAGAGCTGCAGGAGGTGGTTCCAATGTACTTCCCCTGAACAGCCATCGAGATTTCAGAACATGCGTGCACACACACACAAAGTGCAAGGCCCCAGTTCAATCCTTACTCAGCTTAGGGGAATTCAAGCCCAAATTCTCTACCAGACAACCTTGAGATTAGAAGTAGTCTAGGGGAGGAAAAAATTACTCCCTAAAAAATTAGGGCAACTATCTCTTGCATGTCCCATTAAAATGGGAGGAGGGTAAGAGTCAGGGGGAAGAAAGACAGCAGGGCAGACTGTGTCTCTCCAGCTAGTCTCAAATCACTAAGTGAGGATGACTACCTTGATTTGTGAGACTTTTAGCCAATTAACATACAATACAAAACACATAAATATTTAGAGATCACGGACTATCTCCAACAGTTCCTTTAGTCCATTGACAACCAGAGGGTGGTAGATGTGGACTGAATGCTTGCAGGCGAAGAAAGCACGCACAGATCTCCGTGTTCCTATGCAAATATGGTAGACTTCAGGCTACTCTAGATAAAATGGCTGTTTTAAAAGCAAAACATATGCAAACAGAGCTTGAGGGTGGCCTGGTCCTTTGGTTTGTACCTATATTAAACCCCATTACATCAGCGGTTTCTGGATATCCCACTCGGTAAGTAAGTGTGGAACTGCTCTGAGCAGTTCTAAATGGGCGGAGGGGAACTGCTCAGCAGCTCCACAAGTCAAAGAGACAATTGTTGCTAGGTTTATGTAAAGCTGTAGGGTTCTGGAATGACAATTTCAGTCTTTAAATGCCTGAAGACTATCTACAATCTGGTTTTAGTACCCAAGAAAACAACTCTCAGCAAACCTGCCTCAGGCCTACCAGGGAGGAAACAGAGGCCACAGAGTAGGAAATCTGGCTAGAAACATGCCTTTGCTGTTAATCATCAGGCTGTGACTGTGTATAAAGGAAACAGGTTTGATAGACAGCTACTAATGAAGCCCAGACTCTCCCCAGTGACACTGTGTAAACAGTGAAAGCAGGTAAGCATTTGATTCAACTTTTTTAAAAAATAAGAGCTAGCAAAAACACAAACCACTGCAGGTCTGTTGAACACTTAACTGTAGAACTTACTTCTATATGTATTTCTTCATAGTGTACAGCAATAAATACTGGAAGAAAGGATATGGTTCATTCTATGCCAAAAGTTTGTGGATTATTGTCACATCTTAAATCATGGAAACTTCCCAAAACTCATTTAGAAGTATTTTCACGCATTAGCAGAATGAAAGTGCTTAATTAACAGGAATGCAAAACCTGGCTTGGTATCTCACTATGCTGTAGTATAAGAACTATACCACGTAAGTCTTTGAACTATGAGATTGCATTGTATTGCAAGATAAAACAGATGTTTCCTTGTGTGTGTTCCTGGTGATGCTACTATTTCAAAATCTGGCCAAGCACTTACATCTCTAGTCTAAGTATGCACCTAAGCATTGCACTACACAGCTTGAAATAATTCCTACAGTTAACATAAAAATTATGCTGAAAGCAAACATGTAATTTTTTCTTTCCTGCTCAAGCTACAACGCTGTAATTTAATTTAGAGTCAATATTTCCGAGGATTCTCGTCTGAGAATTAAATCAAATATTCTGTGAAGGATGTTAAATTCCACTGCACCAACCTGTACTGAGGCTAAGATAAATGTCACACTCCGCAGACCTACAGCTCCTGCCTGGCTGATGCTTTAATTAGCTCACTAGGGAACAGGCTCACTTGGCTAAGAACTTCTAGGACTGGACCACTGTTTTCTATAAATGACTAACCAGATTAGCTGCATTAATACCCTGTGCAACAATGAGAAGAGAAAAAAGAAACCCAAACATTAAAGTGAAGGAAAGAATTATCTATGAAGTTCACTATTCTCTTTTGTACAGATGGTGTCTCTTAGGACAGAGCCTGCTGCCTTCCTTTGGAACTAGCAATTATGTGTAAGAATGCTAAAGACCTGTTTAACAAAAACATCTTAATAAAACATGAAAAGATCTGCTTTTCTTGATGCAAGGTCCCTATGTTTTTCTAAAATATGAATCTATACTAAAGCTTTGAGTATAAACAATTTTCTTCCACAGTCCATGCGAGTCCATGCTGAATATACAGCAATGTACCAGCAAAAACACAGGTTTTTTTTTAAAACGTTTTTCAGTGATTTACCATAAAGCTGAAACATTTGTCTTGCCTATTGATTTTTTTTACTATAAAATGTATAAAATAAATGCATGTGCCCTTTTCAATATAGTCTGTCTGTGTAGACATTTTACGTTTTCCAGTTCTGAGTAACATGACAAAAAGCGTGCTCCAACTTTCCACAGGCAGAAAGAAATTTTGTATGGTTTTTGGATGCTGCCCCACACACAGCACTCCTGGGCAGTTTAGAATCACAATGACAGTGTACGCCATCAGCACGTACTGCAATTAACAAGGACTTATTGATTACAGCAATCATTAGCTGAAAATAAATAAAGCAGTTTCTCAATCAAAAGACAGGGAAGTAACATCATGCTAGTGCATTATAAAATCAACATGTGTAGCACATTCCTATTTTCCATGTCCCCTTTTGATGGTCTTGAAATTAAGTGGGGAAAGCCTTTTGCCACAGGTTGGTTTAGGTTAACCTTCCTTGACCTGCAGTTAACTAAAGAGCATATGAAGTACAAAGCTTTTCCCCAGCTCTAGTGGCATACATGGTCATGACAATTGGTTGCAGTCTGAACAGCTTCAGTTCAATTTTAATTTAACATCTCTGATCAAAAAAAGTAATAAAACAGTATCTTTTCATACAGAAACCATTGCCTTTTTCAAATAAAGAACATATCAACAGTTCATATCTAGCATAAAATGCCATATTTTAAAAAGGTAATTTGACTTTTTTTTTCTTTTTCTTTGCATTCCAAGTGAAACATGTGGCACACATTTGTGTTACTTAAAACATTAAGTTTGGTATCTGTTAAATCATCTGTGGTTGAAATTCCTGGGACTAACACAGTGCCACAGTTTCCTTAAACCATCTATTGCACCAGAAATGAAAGGCTGTGATGGAGATGTTCTTCCTATACCTCTTAAACACAGGAAATAGTTGGTTTAACATGAAAACAAATGCAGCTAAACTATGTTGCCAGCAATGTTTATCCCTCAGTATCATCCCAGAGGGGAAAAAAACACAAAATGACAGAAAAGGCCCCAGCCCAGATTGCAACTACGTGTAAACACACAACCAACACTAACGTCCCATTATGACACTGTTGTCGAGAATATTTTAGAAATCCAGGTGTAAAAACGTTTTTCTCAGATTGGGGATTGGCACAAATGTAATCCAGAGATTATCCTTTATAGCAGCTTTTACTTTAGTGTGCTTGGCTTTTCACACAAAGCACAGCAAACATGAGAAGGTATAACTGAGTTAAAACCAGCTCAACATCTTGAGAGCAGAGAGGAGGAAAGGGGAAGTCCCTTTTCTCTGCAAACACAACAGAGAGGGCCCCCTCTGTAGATGGGAGTTTGTGGATCTGCAACCCAACTCCCATCTCAGGAAGCCAGAGCCAGGCTGGCCACCTTACAGTGGGAGGGAGCCCTCCTGGTCCCCTGCTTTATCCAGCCTCTCAGGCAGGGTAAGCACGAAAGGTAGGAGGACACCCTTGACATCCAAGGGAGCTTTAAGAAGCTCGCTGTCAAAGGTGCCCTTGAGCCCACCATCTGCTTCCACCTCGCCGTCCTGGGCTAGGCTGAAGCGAAGGGTGCCGGTCCGGTTGACGCAGTAGATGGTGTTGCCCAAGGGGGCACAGCGGAAGGGCTGGATGGGGCCACCGCTGGGCCGCAGGCTGGCACACTGGCTCCAGCACTTGGCCACTGTGTTGTACCGGAAAACTTCAACACCACCGCTCGTCCCGCCGCCTGGGCCCTGCTCCCCACCACGGCCACTGCTCACATCAAAGCGGTAGATGAAGCTCTTGAAGGCCACCATGTCAGCAGAGCGCCGGCGGCTGCTGTTGTAAGGGCACTCCTGCCACTCGTCACGCTTGGGGTCATATTTGAGCAGGCGGTAGAAGAGGGAGCCTCCTGACACATAGATCTCCCCGTTGCAAGTAGTGGCCTCGTGAGCGACAGCGAAGGCTCCCTTGGGCAGAGGTGCCACGGGGCTCCAGCGGTCGGCCCGCGGGTCATACCTTTCCACAGTGAAGAGACACTCGCCCCCCACAGCATAGAGGTAACCATCCAGGGCCAGCAGCTTGAGCTGCGAGCGGGGCTGAGCCAGCGGCCGCACCTGGCTCCAGGTGTCAGTCAGGGGGTTGTAGCAGAAGACCTTGTCGGAAAGGCGAGCCCTGGGTTCGCTGCCCGCCGGCCCTGTCACAATGCCCCCTGCTAGGAAGAGGTAGTTGTGGAGGACACACATGGCACAGCCCTTGGCATTGGCCTCCTCGGGCAGGCGCGTCAGCACCCTCCACTCGCCGCTGGCCTCCTGGTAGCAGTGAATGAGGGAGCCACTCTCCTCCAGCGACACCACGGAGGAGGGACTCTGTGGCCGACTGCTCTCGCGGCTCTGTGGCCGGCTGCCACCACCCGGCCGCTCGAAGGCGTCGCTGACCTCGGCCACCAGCAAGCAGGGCCGGCCAGCATCCATGCGCTGCTGCAGGATGAGGTCCCGCTCAGCGCCGCTGAGGCGCCCGTAAACGCTGGGCTCCCGCAGCACCTCCAGGTAATGGTCGCTCATGAAGCGATAGGCAGCCTCCCGCAGCTCCGCCAGCCGCTGCTTCTTGGCCAGGCAGAGGAGCTGGTAGCAGTTGCCGAGGCAGAGCTGGGCGCGCATGGCCTCGGCGGCACAGTGCAGGGCACAGGGCATCTGGAGGACGCGGGCGCCGCTCACCACCTCAGCCAGGTTGTCGTGCCGAACCTCGCCCATGCGGGCCGTGTACACGTAGTCGATGAGCAGCCGCAGCGCCCCGTAGCTCACCCCCTTCACCCGCAGGACGTCCCGTGAGGCGCGGGCACGAAAATAGTCACTCTTGGCCGCCAGCACCGACTTGTGCACCCGAATGCGGCGGCCCGACACCTCGATCACCAGGTCGGGCTCCTCCGGCGGCCGGTCCCGCGGCCCCACCACCTCCTCATCCTCCTCCTCCGGCGGGCAGGCGGCGTTGTTGATCTCCCACTGGCTCTGCACCACCCGGCCACCGGCCGCGGGCGGCTGCGGCTCGGCAGCGGCGGCGCTGAAGCAGAGGGAGGAGCTGAAGCCGCAGGGGGCGGCCGGCGTGGGCGGCGGCGGCGGCGGGGGAGCGCCGTTCGCGGCCCCGCTCTCCTCCTCCTCCGGGGAGCCGCTGCCCTCCATGGAGCCTCGCTACCTGCGCCGGCGCCGCGCCTGGTCCGTGCGGAGCGCTGCCGGCCGCCGCGGCGCGGCCATCACCTGCGGGACAGACCCAACAATACTCAGCATCCGCGCCTTCCTCCGCTCCCCTGCCGCTGCTTTCCCCCCCGCCTCTCAGGATCAGTACTCGGGGCCGCCGCTCTCGCAGGCGGGGCTGTCTCTGGTTTCCGGGGCTAAACCGCCGCTTCTCCTTTCCCTGGGAGATCCACCCCTCCCGCGGCTAACTGGGCTAGCTCAGCCCCCCAAAACCTGAGCTCTTTTGGTGGGACGGGGGATGGCCCCGATGAGTACCTCAACAGCCTGAAAAGCAATTCTGGTTTTCCCGTTGCTCTGCAGAAATTTTAAGCAGTCTAGAGGTACTGCAATCCTTTTCATGACAACCGATCCCTACACCGTGCTGGTGATGAGCAAAAATCTCCTTTAACGGCAGATACTTAGGAGTAGTATCACAATCCATTCACCTTGTGAAACTTTCCGTGGAAGGCTGAGGCTGCAGTCTATTCTGAAAGGCAATTCCTCACTAGACAAGTTTGCCTTTGCATGACCTTCGGGAAGTTTTCTTCATATCAGTGCTCTCTCATATGCATTCCCCCTGTTTAAAACAAAGTGTAAGAAGATGATTATTTTTCAACATATAGTCTCTGTTTAGTCAGAAGTTTGGGAATTTTAAAGTTATGTCTCCTTTAATAATATACCTAGAGTATCTTAAAGACACCGTAAGTATGCTAATAATCCTAAGAAACACATGAACGTATTTTTTCTGTACTTGGGACAAGAGCAATCTCACATTTGTGTAGCAGCATATGTAGCTGTAAAGCATTAGTAAGGTGTTAATCAGACTTCATAAAGATTGCTTCATGTCTTCATTCAAAGATTTACACCTTCTGTTAATAAAAAGTAGAAGCAAGGGAAAAAAATCACGATAGACAATTAGAACATAAAGTCTCCTGTGGGAAAAGGCAGAAGGGCATATGCTATAAGTAGGTTAGCCCCTGTCGGCACAATCACCACCCAGTTGTACCTTCATTTCACAAATATAGTTTTTAGAATTTAATGAAGTGCCATTTCTTTGCCTCATGTTTGTTTATGAATTTCCCAGACTTGGAACCAAGCATCAAAACTTGGTTTAAGTTTTGATGAGTGACGCATAAAAACTGTCTAAATGTACTTAATATAATTTAATAAGTATCTGCAGCCCTGTTTCTATTTTTAAGGAGGTTATTAATTTCCATTAAAATACCCTTTGTCAGTTTTTTCACAGTCCTCAAGGAACACTCATTTCTATGTAAAATATGAATTGTGGCTTCCTTTTAGCAGACATGATTAATTTACCCTGTTAAATTAGCATAACTTTTTAATTTTTTTTTTTACTGAAAGCATAATTGGTAAGTGACATTGTCTGGAAACCCCTGACACAGACAGGAAATCTAGAAGTCCATACTTGCAATGCAAACTTCACTTAAATGATAATATCAGTCTTCTCTCATGGCTTTTTATTTTGTCCACTTGCCTGGTAAAGAGCTTTTAGACTCAATCAATGCTAAGGTTTGATTTCTGGGTACTGGAGACTTTCAGACCATAACAACCGCATTTTTAAAACTTACTAAAATGAGCAGATTTCACCAACTTTGTATTCCTCATCTGAGTGTTTAAAAATCTGGTACTTAAGAACTTTCTATGACTGTATGAACTTTGGCTAACTTTCCTGCTATCCAAACCTAAACTCTGTAGGTCAAGCTCTACTGAGTTTTCTGTGGTTTTAACTAGACAAGAAGAAATGCAATGATCTGTGTGCACGCTCAGTGTGTCTACAGAAGATGTGCTGACTCATTACTAACTTAAAGTGGGCAGCATTCCTGTTAATGTGATTCTGTTTTTCATGGAGTCTTAACAGTACACAGAGCAACTACTGTAACTGACAATATTCTGGCCATTCCGGACACGCCTCACTTCTGACACCACTTCTCCTAACTTCTACTTTTGTACCCCCCTACAAGAAGGATTGAGTAGCTTCATATCCTTTCATACTCTTGGTCTATGGATTGATTTTTAAGTGAAACTATAAAGGAAGAATGAAAGAGAATGCTACCAAAAATTAGAAGTATGGGTGGTTAAATGTGAGAAGTCGAAAACAGTAACTCTAATACCAGTAATATCTCTCTATGGTGAAATGTATTTCTTGCATTATGTCCCAAAGGAAAATCACCATTTAGAATATTCAAAGTAGTTAAAACAATAACCAGAAAAACTTCTATTTTCAACTTTCTCAACTAATGGAAAAAAAAAGCATGAGATCCTCCTCAAGCACAGTAATCATATCTTTTCCCTTATTCAAATATCTGCTTGATTTAAAAGTTTGATTTGACACATTTGCAATGTTATTGAGAAAGAAGCTTGTAACAAACACCTGTGTTAACCCACTACAATTCCCCTGAGGAATCACAAGGAGAAGGAAGGACTGATGGTATTGCTTGCTAATAGCAAACAGCAGAATTCTGAAGTAGATGATCCTCTGGTATATCCAAAGCTAATTACCAAGCATATGCTGAATTTCATGCTGAGCATGAGAAAAACTGAAATCAAAGTACCACATGCAACTAAGGCAACAAGAACTATATGGGTAAGCTGAAGACTTAGAAAAGCTGAAAGAGGGTTTGGAGGATTTTGTCAATGACAGCAATGACCATGACAGCAGTGACCACTCCAGCAAACTCAGCACCTCTGTCTTGTTGAAAACAAAATACAAGAATTACACAAAGATGAAGCTGAATAAACAATTCAGAGAAGTTGTGGAACTTTTCCATTATTGAGCAACATGACTGATCTGAGTTAAAAGGTCATGGATTTAGTATGGAACAGGAAGATGCTGAAAGGGTCTGATTGAGATACGAAATTGAAATCCTTCTCTGTTCTTTTCTTATCTATAGTGATCAGAGAGTTGTACCACTGTTCTGGCAACACAGAATATTCAAAAAGTACAGAATTGCAGAAGATACTTGATAGCTGTGATGATTCAAAAGAATCTGACCACCCAATGATCTAATTTGGCTTAAAATAAACTTGGTTTTAACATTTTTTCAAAATTCACAAACAGGATAGGTACTGGAAAAGGAAGCAAGCTGTTGAGACTACATAGTACCTGTGGACTGAGGTAACCTTTTATACTGGGGACTTTTAAGTCAGAAACTGAATTGCTTGGTCTGAATGTTTTCATTATCATGGGTTTGGTCTAGGGATGATGTAATGTTAATGGACAGAGGAGCTGCCAACAAACATGAACTGTATTTACAGACTTGGCAATGACACACAATATCCTGAATGTGTGGCCCCAACCTCAAATGTTGTGAGACACTGCTCAAGTAACAGCACAGATAAGAAGGCACAGTTTTTCTAACAGAGAAACTGTAATGAAGAGCTGCAGGTAATGTTCCCCCTGGCATTGCATTCATTTGGCAGTCCTTCTGATAAAATCCAATTAAACGCTTGTATTGAATTGTTCTCTCCTCATTTTTTTTGTGCAGTGCCAATAGCCTTTGATCCAAACCACCTCCTCCAGCAAGACCCACTTTCTCCAGGGAATATGTGCATGTGGGAGGAACTGGGTTACTTCTCTCCAGTTCACAAATGAAACGGCTCTGACTCAGCCTCATGGTAAATAAAAGCAGTGCTTTCCCTACCATAAGCAACTCTAATTTACATAAGCAGGCTATCCTCCCCAGGAGACTTACCAGTTCAGAAATCACAAAATGCTATTCTACTCCACCTTAGCCCAGAAATAATGCTTTTATAAAAATTTGCACTGCCAAATTTTTACTTCAGTCGAGAAGTCCCTTGGGATAGGGGTGACTTCTGATTGAGATGATTAAGGCGTCAAAGAGGTGGGATCATCAAAAGAGAAAAAATATCCCTTATATTTATTTTAAAAAGTCAATAATGACTTAAAAGTAGAACTGGCCAGCATGAAGTGTAGGCAGAGTCCAGTGTAGAGTAGTTTGCATACTTATAAAAATAGTCTGTAACACTCCTGGTCACTGAGTAGATCTGTGAAATTTGGAGGAAAAAAATATTCTCTTTGTAGATGGGGAAAACATCTGGAGCATAAAGTGCTCTGAAAGGGCCTGCACTGCTTGGATCCTATTACAGATTTGAACTCTAAATCTTAACCACTTGATTAACCTCCTGTTTGTAAGAAAAAAAGTACAGTTGTCTTTCAACGTGCCACCTCAAGAAAAACAGCAGGAAGAATAATTATTTTTCTCTCCCTCTTTTAATGTTAGGTATGATACAATTCTAGTGTCTTGCCCTGACTGCTGGATATATGGCTTTTATAGTATTGCCTTCACACTCAAGTGTGGATGCAAATTTTGACCTCTCAAGGTGCTGTAATTTTCTGACAATATGTAATAGAGGTATGAATTGTCTTTAATCTCTACAGCATTTTCATACAACCACAAAGAAAAAGAAACATTTAAGAATTGCAGCTTATGACTACAGACCACACAAGAAACATGTGGACAGCAGTTCCTCATCAGAAGAAAAGGCTGTGTGTATCTGGATAGGGAGGAAGAGAGAGGAAATAAATCATAATAAAAATATTATCAAAAGCCTGATTAAATCGATATTATAGCTAACAAATCTAAACTAAAAATATACAAGTTCTAAACAGTCATCATGACCAGAGAAAAGGTTTCCTAACAGTGATATCCATAGAGACAAACATTCTCTAAAAAGGAAACTATCTTTTTGAGTTCCTTCCAGTTTAGACTCTTCAGAAATAGTTAGGGAGGAGTAGTGTCTCTCAGGGATTCTCACAGAAAAGAGGAAATAACACTCCTAAAAAAGCAGAATCTAACAAAGATTAGGTTCAAGTTCTCTCCAATATCCCTTAGAATAAAGAAAGTCTAACAAAAAAAAAAAACCCACTCAGAAACAAGTTTGGAGTGATTACAGTACCTTTAGGAAAAACGCCAGGGCTCCCGTGGTGTCTTTATCATTAATGCACTACAGGTCCAGAGATAAGTATGGCATGGCAGCACCATACTGTATGCAACAAAACATTTTATGCAGAATTGCTGCTAATTCTACACATGGGCTCACAGCTACACTTCTAGATATGAGAGTATGTGGTCATGCCTGTGATAAATTGAAGTTTGGTTGCTTTCATCATATCTGGGCACAGCTACATTACATTAAATTGACACAGTACCAACCATATCAGCATGGTGCTACAGCTGAAAGGATGAATGCAGTCCTTGAATGTGTGTACTGGGAAATATGGAGTACCCATAGGGAAAATGTTACCCTTCAGCATTAGTAGGTTTGCAATGGAACATGGTGGTTGAATGGATGGAAGCATGCATGTTCAAAGCTTTACATTTTGGAAGTAGCATTTAAAAACCTGTGAAGACAGAGAAGAGTACCAAGTTATTAGACAGAGAAGAGTACCAAGTTATTTCAGAGACACAAAAAATCCCCACTTTAGTGAGAGATTCAGAAGAGCACTTTGCAACCAGACAAAGGCTTACTCTGTCTCTATGCTGCACACAAGCTTCCAAACAAAAAGGTGGTACCTAGCCTAGGCATCCTCTAACA